AAATACTTTTAAATTCAACTGTCTGCAATTCACTGCCAGAAAGCTGTTCTGGAGAAAATGAAAACACAGAAATTGAAACCAGCCGGAACTCTAGGTATACAGGAGGATCACATGGAATTCATCTGAAGGAGAAAGTTACTACTACTACTACTACCAGAACATCTGGAGTCAAATTAAATCAGGCACTATTTACATTATTTCTAGCTCTGCACTGACCTCACATGGTGCTTTCCTATATGTTACGCAAAGGCCTACCTAGGTTTTCATGTCTGAGTTAGAATTAGACGGTTTCTAACTTTAACTAAAGTTAATGTTCCAAAGAACAGAACAATCTACACATAACCCTTTCCCATTGTTCACTGTTGCTCAGATCACCCCGATAAACCCATCTGTTCCCTTTAATTGCTTCTAAAGAAAAAGTCTAGAAACCAGGGGCACCAGATTGTAAAATACAAAGTTATAGTTCTGGCACTACCGAAATATGTTAAAAAATCTTGACAAATCCGCTAAAATCTCGTGAACCGTAACTACCTCAGTTATAAAAATGACTACAACATAAATCTACTTCCGAGCAGGGATATAAATTAAGACTTAAACAGAAGAAATGCCTCAGGTTTTTGGTGCGCTCCAAGTGTGTGTGGCACCTCTCTCCCAACTTATTTTCCTTCCCACCTTGAAGCTTCCTTTCCCTTTAAGCTTTCAGGATTTGCTTCCAGGCTCCACACTTCAATTCCCCTTAACCTCCTACTCCATCCAGCCCTCCTACTGGACTCCCTAACTCCAATCCCACACAATTCCACCACCCTGGGTTCCAAGCTGCTACTTGCCTTTGCGCCCCCTAAGGTACGGGGCAGCCCCTCCACCGGACTCCCCACACCTCCCTCAGCCCCCACTGCCTACGGCTCCTCCCCTCGGCTCCCCACCCCCTCATCGCCAGGTTCATCCTGCCCCTCCAACCGTCTCCCGCCCCCAGGTTCCTTCCTGCCCTCCAAACACAGCTTCCCCGTCTCAACGTTTCATCTGGTTCCTCCAACGGACTCCCCGGTGGCCTGATCGCTCCCTTAGTCCCTACGTTCTCCCAACACTCCACTGCCTACTCCTTTCCATCCATTCTTCTCAGCAGATACATAAATGGAAAGGCACCCACAGACAGGAGCCCCCACCCCCACCTCGGTCCTCCCTTTTTCCCTTTTATACTTGCTT